CTCTGTAGCTGTGTGGAAGTATGATTTGGGGCCTGCATTAGGATAGTGTCCCTCCAGCAGCCTTGGTACCCATTTTAAACAGGAGCACTGAGCCCATCTGTTTATGTTCTGTGTGTCTGACATGAATCCCATGGTGACTGACTCTGCTCTTTCCTCATTTCAGTTCCTGTCATTGAGTTTTCGACAAATTATTCCGCATCCACAGCTGGGAAAGTAACACTAGGAGTCTTTGTAGGTGGATTTGTGCTTATGATGGTCTTTATGGTTTCTATGCAATGTAAGTACATTCACAAGTCTAAAATAATCTAGTATATTTATATATTTTTGGTGATTGAGATTTCAGGAATACTGGGCCATATTTAGCTATAGATGCATTTCTTTTTTCATTATGGAGATTTAAAACAAGCTTTGAAAACTAATGTCATGTATTATTAAATGTTTAATATGTGTACATTATAGGATGCTTATCACATTATAGGATGTTTGACGTTTGTTACCTGTGATGTTACTGACATGAACGTCCTGCCGACTGACCCTGTTCTTACCTCATTTCAGTTTTATTCTTGTGGTATTACAATTCTTCTTTATCCTGGAGCACATTCAAGAAAATACTATTGGCTATATCTGGATTTCTGATAATAATGGTTTTAGTCGCAAGTAAGTCTGTTTCCAAGTTTATAAATGTATTGATTTTACATTATTTTTTGGGAATTCTGGGACAGGATTGTGTGTAACCCCCCACAATTCTGCATATCACTGTAATCAAACGCAAAACTTGAACTCTAACATTTTGTTTTATATTAATTTAAAACACAGTCCATCATTATGTATACATTATTGTATAATGTCCCATTGAAACATCATTATATTTGCATAAACAATGTTAGTCTGCTTCTTAACCTGGGATGTAGTTTCAGTACCTCAGTGTCCAACATGGGATTCAAACCCAGAACCCCCAGGTGACAGGGCTGTGCTCTTTTAATCACAGGATCACTGAGTGTGTCTGTCATGAATTTTATAATGACTCAGTATTCTTACCTCATTTCAGTTGGTGTTGGTGTGTTTCTTGCCTCATATTTCTCTGGAGGAGCAGATATTGGAGCATTTTTAACTGTCTTTATAGCTCCGGTGATCATGTTTTTAATCACATGTAAGTACATTGGCATTTTTAATGTACTTTGTGGTGCATTTGTCAGGACCAGTCCCTGCCCTATCCTGTCTGCCATCCCAGCTTGGCCAGCAGGGGTCGCTGGCCATCCTGTTCCTAGTGTTTCAGGCCTGAGTGTTCAGTGATGATGACAACCGTAGATTTTCAAGGGGCCTCAGGGTCACGCACAATGACAGCAGAAGAGTGTCTTATAATTTATTCACCCAGCATGTGGGGTTTTAGTGCAGCAAAATTAATGGAAAGAACAAAAGGACATAACAAAAAAAATCTAAAGATCATCGCCCCCACCCCCTTAATTAGAAACTTCCATTCCTACACACTACCTGAGGTAATGTCCCACAAACAGAAGAACAAAAAAAAATGGAGGTAAAGAATTAAATGGAATCCATCCTATTGCCAATGTTATAAAATGTTCAGAATAAACAATCACCCATCACCATTAGCAATAGTTTACACGGAATTAATAAATTCCACAAGGATGCAACCACCCTTGCAAATACACCCACCTCCATTCAGCTGTCCCAAACAGGAGAGCGCTTCCATAAAGCATCAGGAAGCTACTCTGGCAGTAAGGACTATCAAAGTTGTCTTGAAAAACAATCATAATCATATCTTTACTGCACGACTTATCCCATCACTTATACATCTGCTAAAGTCGCTTGGCCTCTCTGCTATTTCAATCGATTATCTAGTGGAAAAAGTTACACAACAATAAAAAATGTGAGTGAATGAATGAAACATTTGGCGCGGCTTCATCAGCATGTGTGCAGCCGTACGCTTCTGCACACACTGACCCTGTTAGACCTGTTAAGGGTGATAAGTGCAAAAGGACAAAAAATAATTACAAACCATCACCAAGGATTAACACAATGGGAGAGTTTGTTATCACCACTATGAGGACGCAGTGAGAACGCGCCTATGAAACACACCATCACAAGGACCCACACCTGTTGTATTCAGCCCTAGTGTTTGGATAATTAGCTATAGGCTGCACCTGTCCCTTGCTGAAGCCCCAGTTAAGTGTATTTAAGCACCTGCCCTTCCTCTCTTCCCCAGTCGGTCATTGTGTCTTTGTAGCTGTTGCCCTGTGTTTGCTGCCCTTCTGCTGTGGGTGGTCCTCTGTTGCGTGTTGTGAGTATTTTTTTTAAGGGGGGGTCCCTTGTTTTATGGAAGCGACAGTCCATTGTGCAGCCCACCTTTCCACTATGCTTGGCTGCAACATTTTGTCATTAATATTTCAGAAACGGTGAGTCAGAACTGGGTTTAGGGCTGTTTCATGTCATATTGTATGTATGAATGCCAAATGATGTGAAGGTGGACCATTTGTATGCCCTTGTAATATGTAACTCCATTAGTAATTTACAAAAGATATATTTTACAATATCCAACCCAAACACCTTTAACACATATTAATCTGCCTTTTAAGTTAGGAAATTCTTTCAGTACCACAATGTGATTCTAACCCAGAACCACCAGGTGACTGGGCTGTGCAGGGTCTTAAACACAAGACCACTGAGCACATCTTTGTATGTGTTTGATACAAATTTCATGACTAATGATGTTTTTACTTTGTTTCAGTTGCTGTGATTGCTGTTGCTGCATGGAGATCTGATTCTTATTATTATTCTTCATTTTGGGAAAGTAAGTATATTCTCTAGGGTGTGTGTGTAATATACCCACTAATTGGACAAAAGTATTGGGACATGCCACTTAATCATTAAATTCAAGTGTATAAAATCAAGCACCTAGTCATGCAGTCAGGTTTACAAACATTTGTGAGAGAATGGGCCATTCTGAAGAGCTCAGTGAATTCAAGCATGGTGCTGTCATAGGATACCACCTTTGCATTAAGTCAGTTTGGGAAATTTCTTCCCTGCTAGATGTTCTACGGTCAACTGTAAGTGGTATTACTGCAAAGTGGAAGCATTTAGGAACAATAAACTCAGCCACAAAGTGACAGACCATGTAAAGTAACAGCAGAGTTGCTGAGTGCTGAAGTGCATAGTGCGTAAAAGTCGCCAACACCCTGACTCCATAAGTATGGAGTTCCAAACTTCCCGTGGCATTAACTCCAGCACAAAAACTGTGTTCCAGGAGCTTCATGCAATGGGCTTCCATGGCTGAGCAGCTGCATGCAAGCCTACAAACATATTGGGACACCTGGCTGTTGCAGCTACAGGAACTCCTATGACATCCCATTCTAAATCCATAGGCATCAGTATGGAGTTGGTCCCCCCTTTGCAGCTGTAACAGCTGCCACTCTTCTGGGGAAGCTTTCCACAAGATTCTGTTGTGTGTCTATGTGAAATTTACTGTCTAGAATCCTGGCCAAGAAATAGTTATTTCCTCTTTAAAATGTACTAAATCAAAATCGAACAAACATCTGAACCGTGGCCATTTTCGTAACATCCCATAATCTTCTGCCGGCTTATCCAATGGGGAGGCTTGGAGCCCCTCCCAGGAAGCACAGGCAGGGGTGTCCCAGTCCATCACAGGGAATTTCGTAACACTTTTTTGGTTTTTCTTTGGAAGGATATTTTATCCTAGTGAATCCTGTGGATAATACCATACCTGTTTAAAACAGCCCTAACATATCGTGTGTGTGTGTGTGTGTGTGTGTGTGTGTGTGTGTGTGTGTGTGTGTGTGTGGACAAATTAAATCCTTTGAATATGTATATTTTATTTAATGGCATCATAGTCAGTTTGAATGCTTAGTGGGTATTTTTAATCCAAAGCCAATTAAAATGTACCCTTTTTTTTTTTTTTTTACTAAAGTGATTTGGGTCTAACGGCCAGATTTTCTTTGGACCTCAGCCATTAAATTCTGATTTTCAAGCTGAACAGCACTGTGCTGTCTAATTTGGTCTGTTTTACACTTACAGGTCTAAACATGATGTTTAATATGCAGATCATTACTCTCTATATCCAGTTTATCGCCTGGATCCAAGGCAGATTTTTACTGGGTAAGTTTTCCTTTAATTAAATGCAGGTTTTGTGGTACCTCCAGTAAATATATTTAATTAATTCTCTAAATTCTCACTATTATGCAAAACTTTACCACTTGGGCAGTGGAACCACGCCAAACATAAATGGGAGGTGGGATATATGTAAACTTTTAATTATAAACCACCAGAATACATAATATACCAGATATGGGGAAAAAAGCATTTAAATGACTGTTTATCTGAGGATTTTTCCCTGGAGTTTATTTATGTTACACTTGCAGTGGACGGGGACTGATCCCTGATTGGTCCAAACCCTCTAAATCTGATTTCTGTGTGGGTCCTGGACAGCAGGGGGGTGGATGGATAATAATTGCCTGTATTCATAGTAGAATAGGGTGTCTGGCAGTTTACTTTATTGTTACTAGTCTATGTCATTGTGAGGGTCATGTGACTGGGACTGTGTACATTTTAGGAGTTGCCCAGACTAGCCAACAAGTCGACTTTACTGCTCTGTGAAAACTCTAAGCTTAACGTCGACAAGTCACTAAATACGTGATTATATATAACAGTAACTACATTAACGCCACAGAGAACAGCAGGTATGTGGAAGTGCGGGGAAGAGAGATTGAAGAAGTGGAGCAAAAATTGACTTCCTCAGTTTCAGTTTAGTTTGTCATGTGTATGTTAACACAGAGTCAGCATTACAATGAAATGTGTAGGACGAGAAAAGAAACACGAAAACAAGTCTTACAGCACTGGAGAAAAATAGAGAATAAACTTGAAAAATTAGAATTTTATGAATGTGTATGTTTAGCTGAGGGGTGTCTCTGTAGTGATTTCTGGCTGTGGGCAAAGGAGCTCCCATACCGTACCGAAATGCTGTGCTCCCATACCGTACCGAAATGCTGTGCTCCCATACCGTACCGAAATGCTGTGCTCCCATACCGTACTCTAATTCAGCCTATCCGCAAGCTTTCAATTGTGTATCTGTAGAAAATGTACAGGTTATAGTTACATTTAATGCGTTAATGTATGCGATACCTTTTGTGCTTGTTTCTCTACATTTTGACATAGGCAAATTCTATAAATAACCAATATACTTCTGTATAATATTACCGGTGCCGGCAGTGAGACTTATGACATTACATACTAATTAAGCACTTTGAGCTACTGAAGTTCCTAGTCGAGATGGACCAGGAAGTCAGAAATGGAACTGTCTCATTTATAAAAACTTTGCAGGAACAAAATAGCCATGAAACATTCATATTATACGAAGAATTTGGGCTTTATGGTCCGGAGCAGTCGTGCGAAGGTTTGGAGGAAACCGGAAAGACCAACAGCTAGAGCTCATACAGAAATTTGCATCTCAGCTGCATTTACAGTTAGATTTAGCTCTTGGTGAAATCCATGGTAATAGAGAATTTTTTTTATTTTTATTGGGCCTATCTGATATATAACATTTAGCATTTGTTTTGTTTTGATTGAATGGATTTATGCATAAGAGGATGGATGATAACATTCCAATCTATCCAAACGTTTGCTGAACGTTTTTGTAGGAGTGATACCTCAGATCCAGTTCTGCGACGACTCGATCCATTACAGCAATAAAGACTGCTGAACCTGTCTCGGCCTGATCGTCATGGTCCGATTCCGTCGGTTTGTCTGCTTATTTTTTCCTTTTTCTGTGCCTCTGCATGTCCACTTTGTAGTGGGACACAGTTGAAACCATATTTATTGCATCACTCTCAAATTTTTCAAAATCACCCTGTAGGCAGGCCTGTCATGCCCCGATCGTGCCGATCCTCCCGTGTGTCACGCCCCCTCGTCTACACCGTGTGGAATCTCCGTGTTATCAGCTGCTTCTAGTTGTGTTAATTGAGTTTGTGTATTTAAGTGCTTTCTTGTTAGTCTTTCCCCAGTCTGGTCATTGACGTCTTTATGTCGTAAGTGCCACTCTATATTCCTGAGTGTGTTACCCTTAATAAACCCTGAGGTTTATCTCTACTTCTGGACTCCCGCGCCTGTTTCCCTGCCCTGCACCGCCGTGCCTTGTGACTATGTGACAGGCCACATAACCCCTCAAAGAGCTGAGCAAATTAACAGCATCACATAAATTCCGTTCCACTGCCTGTAGAGCAATACTAGCTTTGTGAAAACGCTGCATTATGTTATCCCACATGTTACACAGAAAAGCATTTCCTAGTTTTTCCATCTTTTCGCTTAGCATTCTAGCTTCATCCCTAGTTGTTAGCTTCTGCTTGGAATCATCACTGAACTTTAGCAGCAACTGTTGAATTTTCAGTTTTGCTGTAGTGCTTTCATTGCTAGTGCGTGTGCCGACCATCTAGTATAATAGAGACTTTTCAAAGTCTCTATCCCGTGGTTGTCATTAGGCCCTAAACCCAGTGTAACTGTCTCCCAATGGAGGTGGATTTGGAAGAAAAATCAAAAAAGTGTCTGTATGAAATTAGAAAATTCTACCATCTGTTTTTTTATGAGAGGAATGATGGTGTTGCTTTCCAGCGTCCCCATAAAGTTACCATTATCAGGTGTCCCAAAGATTTCACTGTGTCCCCTGAATGGTAGTCCTCACTGTGCTAAAAACCTTACCACCAAAACCACCCTCTTTAAAACCTCTCCAGTATCCACATTCATTGTCAAATTGTTTCTTCGGTTCTGAATCTATGCACCCAGCATCGGCACTCTGCCTAACATAAGCTATCGTAGCCTTTCTGTGGCTCTCCGATCCTTCATGATCAGCCAAGCGCACGGCTGCGTGTTTCCAGTCACTGTAGCCTGACATAAGTGCACACTGAACATTACCAAATAACGCAGAACGAAACACCGTACCTTTCGAAGGAGAATAAAGCAACCACTCTCAGTGCACCAATTCACTGTTTACCAGTTTCCATATGAAAATTGTTTTGGAGAAGTACCTCCTTTGCTGATTGTCTTTCTGAGACAGTGACATCTGCGTCTCAGGTCCCATTTTAATCCAGCCTGTCCTCAGCTCACCCCAACATGCAGGGTCTGAGCTGACCTGATAGGTAATGTTATTGTTAGCATTGGCACAGTTTGCAGACTCTTGTGCCCTTTCAGCAGCAACAGGTGAGACTGTGGTGAGATTCATGGTCGCTGGAACTGAGACATCATCATGGCTAACTGTCCACATACTGGTGGTGGAACCGTATGGAGTATGAAGTGTATGAAGTGTCGGCCCTTCAGTGTTAACTTTTGCTCAATGAGCTGGATGTGAGGCATAAACCAGCAGGCTCTGGCGGTGTGGCCCCCCCCTGACCTCAGCCCTTCTTCTGTGACTTTGGGGGGCCCGTTGTTGGCTGCCATACTGGACCTCCTGCGGGGCGTCGTGCTCACAGGATCGAGTGGCCTCACACAGCTACGCCAAGTAGGCCATCTCCTCCCACCGCTGGAGGAGGTCCTCTGTCAGCAGGACCTCCAAAGCACAGCAGGCCTCCTCCCGGCACGCAGCGCGGCCTCCACCTCCTGCTGACGTCCTGCCAGCTCGTTGTACACCTGGGCCAGCTGGACCTCTGAGGCGCGACACGCCTCCTCCCGACCGAGCAGCACCATCTCCTGGTCAAGCAGTGTCACCTCCGCTGCCTGAGCCAGACGCTTCTGCCGGTCACACTCACACTCCCAGCTGGCCGGTTCCTCGCACAGCCGCTCCCAGTCCCCGTCAGATGTAAATAGCCCCTTGTATGTTGAGAAAACCCTAAGGGAATAAACCAAGGCAGTGTAGGAATCAATAGCTCAAATAAATTTTAATATTCTCCACCAATATGTTTGAATTAATTAAAGCTTAATTAATTATTATTT